CTTCGTAAATCTTTGACATATTTTCTAGGTGAATTTTTTTTTTGTGCGGTCCCTTTCCATCGCATAAAAAAAATTTTCTTTAATATGTTGTAAAAAACTATTTGTTATAACTATTTATGAAATTTCTCAATATTTTTTTTTTGTGCAGTTTTTTTTATGCCGTCCCTATCTACCGCACAAAAACAAGTTTGATTGTATAGTTGGATGTCAATATCAGCGACTGAATGGTACTGTTTCTTCATTTTTACAAGTATTTCGTAGCTTATTTAATAGCAACAGATGTTGCGAATAACGCGTCCTCGTGAATCTTATTATGATTTTTATACCCTGACTCAATTCTTTGAGTAACAGCGTGAACAACGGAAACTGTGTGGCCATCAAGAATAACGGAAACAGATTAATATATCATTTGTCTTTATAAACCAGGTGTGTAAATATTTTTTTAATCCACTGTACGTAGCTCAATTCGCCTTTATATCCAAAGTTGCGAACAGAACAAAGTTCTGAAAGTTCTCCACTTGGATGGATAAAAACAACGAAGGTTCGGGGAGGACGTTTGGTGAAAGGAAGGGAGGCGTTGCCGTGGCAAGCGAGGAATCGAGGATAACTAATGTAAGAATGGGTGGCAAGGAAGGCTCAGGAACGATCGCAGCCAACGGAAATGTCTCCCGTAAACTACTAATCACCATAAACCACCGAGATACACGTGTTACGAATTCTCGGTGTAGAGGAATCACCGCGCTTCGCGTCTACTCCACCCTGCAGCATTTGTTGCTCTCCCGGGGAAACCTCAGGAACATTTACCTCTGTTCCCTGTTTCGTCCTCCTTCGCTTCTTCCCGCAGCGTTCCACGTCTTTCGTTTCACATCCGCATCTCTACCGGTTCTCCACCACGTTAAATAGATTGTTCCCAGCTTCACCGTCGAAAAGTTTCATCCTCCCATCCTCTGCCATTCTTCCGCGTACCAGCCAGCACGCTATCGAGTATCGTGGAATCTCGCGGATTAATCGATTCAGCGTCGTACGTCGACGATCGAATCGATATTCAAGATAATTCTCGGAAGGTTCTTTCGACTAAAAATTTTACAGAGACGATTTCTTCTCATTCGTATCTTTTGCTCTTTACGTTTTTCTCGAAGTTTTCTTCGTACATTGTGCTAAATAACTGATCGAAGTTTCTACCTATGTGATTTGAGTTGAACAGTTTTGATGTAATTTCTTACAAAGAAGACGATCCACTTTCTCATTCTAGAACGTGGAACTTCTACTTTGACAGTCGTCAATTGATTTTCTTCGAAGATGACTTTATATCTTAGCTGATGGGAAAATGAGGAAACGCACGTAAAAACATTGAAACATGTTTTTCATAACTGGATCTACCATCTTTTGCAACGATCTCTTAAAACTTATCGTACGATTTTTTTTTTTTCACCATTTTATTGAATACTGAATTGAATATCAGACGAAAATTGAAGATTATTAACATTTTGTCATTTAACTAACATTCTAACAACCAACATTCAAAGTTTAACCAAATGGTGAAAGAAAAAAATCATACAGAGAGTTTTAAGGTCGTTGTAAAGACAAAAAATTTCAATCTTCAAACTGTGAATCTACGCAACAAGAAAGTCTTCTCATATTTTTACAGTTTTCGAGGGGAAAGTATCCTCACTTTCCTACTCGTTACAAAAAAAAAAAAAAAAA